AATTAAAAAACAAAAATAACATAGAGAAACATTTTTCTGATATTGTCTGCTTCTGGCCAGGATTCATCTGACATAAGTGAAGACACCTCTGGTGCCATGGCCTCTTTCATGCATGGTGCAACTTCTGGAAGTTCTACCTTTTCTGGATGGTCCTCATCAATATTTTGTTTTAAATATTACATTTAAATTAATTATATTGTCTGATCATTTCCACATTCTAGTGGGTCATCTTTCTTGGGTTTGGGAACAAGTATAGCTCTCTTCTGGTCAGTTGGTCAGTGTCTTCCAAACTTCTTGGCACAGACTGGTAAGTATGTCCAGAGCTGCATCTGTTAATTGGTATTCCATTGATTCCTGGGACCTTCTTTTTGCCAATTCCTCCAATACATCTTGAACTACTTTCTCAACACCATTTGCTCTTTATCACATGGTGCTTCCTGAAATATTTCAGTGTTGACTAATTCCTTTTGGTATAGGGACTCTGTATTCCTTTTTTTTTTTTAATGCTTCCTGCACCTGTCAAGACTTTTCCTATAGTTTTTCTCAGTATTGCAACTTGTTTTCAATTCGAGTTGAGGCTTGAACTTGTTTTTCTTTCAATTTGAGAAATGCGTAAAGCTTTCTTCTCTTTTTATTTTACAATTCCAGCTCTTAGCACATTCCATCATAATATTTTGTAATCTTTGTGATACTTTTATAATACTTTGTAACAATTGAGCAGCCCTTTGGAATCTTCTGGTCATCTATATTCCTTTGAAATTCTTTCCCTTTGCTTTGGATTCTCAATATTCTAGTGCAATTTTTAGAGTCTCTTCTAACATACATTTTTGTCCTTTCTTTCTGCTCTGTTTTTATGATGACTATTTTCTTTCTTCAAAGCTGATATTTTTTTATATATTCCCCACAATCCATCTCATTTTCAATCATTAATGTTCAATGCACCAAAACCTCTTCTTTAGATGATTTTTAAACTTAGAAGTTATAAACTCAAGGTCATATTCTGGTTCTTGTGGACTTGGGATAAGCACCAATACATTCTCTTCCAGTCCTTTCATCTTCCAAATTTTTTTGCCATGTCTATGGTAATGACTGGGGTAATCAGGATGGGTGTGTCAGAGTCGGTGTGATTGGCACAGGGCAGAGCAGAGTTTAGGGCTATTGTACATAGGGTCACTATGAGTTGTGACTCGACGGCACATAACAACACATGGTAGGTTTATTTCATTTTCTTCAACTTCAACTTGAAGTTGCAAATGAGCCACTGACAGTCTATTCTTGTTGTGCTGATAATACTGACCTTCTCCACTATCTCTTCCACATATGTAATTGACTCAATTCTTGTGTTTGCCCCATCTGGTGAGGTCATAGTGTATAGCTTCTGCTTTTGTTTCATGTTTCTGTTTTTTGAGGTTATTTTTAAAAGAAAGGTATCTGCAATGAGTTTAGTCAGCAATAAGTTGGTTGAGGATAAGGAAGGGTTCAGAGCTATGTTCATTTGATTACTATGAGTCATAGTCAACTCAACAGGGCATAACAACAAGAAAAGCAATGTGAAGAACTATGATTTCATCCCACAAATCTTTCCAATAAGTTATTAAGGCTATTGTTCTTATTTATGATATGATATTAATCTTCTGAGAATAAACACAGTATTTTTAGTGTGTACCCCAGTACTGCCGACTTTAACAGGAGACCTAGTGACCTCATATGTCCTAGTCATTCATAGTGACTCATAGCCCCAGTGTAACATGTCTGGCTGCTAATCAAAAAGGTCACTAGTTTGAATCTACCAGTTTCTCTATGTGAGACAGATATGTAGTTTCTTCCCACAGAGATGGAGTAAATTTTGGAGTTTTAAAAAATTATAATATGTCATTCACAATACAGGTTCATTATTCATTTTGAGTCAATAAAATAATCAGTATATATTTTACATTTCTAAATTTTGAGGTATATTGAAGTGTGCATTTATTGCATATGGCATATACATAGCATTGCAAGGTCATTTATTTAAACAATGCATACATTTTAGAAAAAGTGTGTTCCAATAAATTTATGTAAATGAAAATATTTATTTTTATGTGAAAATTTTAATACCCTGAGCCAAGTAAATTATTTTTGTTCATGTGATATTCAGACTTAATGGAGCATCTGTATTTATGTTCATTAAATTTAGCATACATTTACGTGTGATTAGCTACATAGTAACTTACATTATTTTCTTATTTTCATTATTATAAATGCATAAAAAATAATAATGAAAGCTGCATAAATTACCAGCCTTCATGACTGATATGCATGTAACAACGGTATTGGAGACAATATTAAACCACAGTACTTTAAAATAATTAGTTGACAGTAATTTAATTTGAAAAATAATCAAAGCATAAAAACTTTCAGTTGGAAGCTAATATATTTTCTTTTAAAACTTGAAATATATTTTCTACTTGATTGTTAGAATGTATATATTTATTTATATATTTATAACATTGCAAATATATTTTATTCTTAAAAAAACTTGATTGTTTCTTTCAAAATGTATTTTAATATATTTTAAAAAATCATTTACTCCTCTAATTGTGCTCCAATAGAGCTCTGATGGCCTAGTGGCAAGAAGTTGCCCTACAATCTTGAAGGCACACAGTTCGAGGCCAACAGCTGCTCCATAGGAGCGGGCAATCTCTTCCTGTGCGATTAACTGCCTCTGAAAACCCACCAAATGTTCAGCTATCGGTTGGATCTGACTCTACGGCATACAACAACTACAACAACTGGTAATTGTTATTCAAAATAAATAAACTATAGGACAATGACTAGGGATGAGAGGAGAATTGATGCCTTTGAGCTGTTGCTGGAAGAGTGTTGAATATACCATGGACTGCTACAAGAACAAACAGGTTCATCCTGGAGAAGGTGAAATCAGGCTGCTCCTTGGGGGCAAGAATTCTGAAGCTTCATCTGACATATTTTGGACATGTTGCAAGGAGGTACCAATCCTTGGAGAGGGACATTGTGCTTGGAGGGAGGAGGGACAGTGCAGGAGAGGAAGACCTGCGATGGGATGCATTAGAATTCAGTCACTGGGGCTATGGGAGTAGGTGTGTCAGAGACAATGAGGTTGGCACAGGATAGAGCAGGGTTTAGGAGTGTTATACATAGGTTCACTGTGAGTCACAAGCAACTCAATGGCATATAACACCAATAACAAGTGCATATATGCAAAACTTTTTATACAGGAATGTACTATAATAGGTAAGAAATATCTTCATAAAAAATCATTTTTCTGAGGAGATACAATAAACTCTAATGGAATGTTTTCCATTAGTAACTCTTCTTTTCAGATATTTGTTTTCATTTCCAATTCTTAGACTATAACAAATCCATAATGTCATTATTTGCAGACTGGAAATTAATAAAAATGGCTAGTTGGTCCTATGAGTTGCAGTTGACTTGATGGCACTTAACAACAAGTTGGTAGAAGTCCATGCCAACTTGCAACCCTGAAATCATCTGGATACTCCTTTGTTTTTTAATTTCTGTGAATTTTTTCCTTACTCAGAAGGAGTAACAGGTGTTTTTCCACAACACTTCAACTGAAGAACTATGTGTATTATCTAGTCCACCTTCTCTTTGTCTTTAAAAAAAGAGAAAGAAAGCTAAGCCACTTGATCAAAGTTAGTGAACCAGTTTAAAAAAAAAAACCCAAATAACCTGAACTTTCTGACACTAATGTTTCTTTTCAGACTCTATGGTGAACCCACTTACTTAATATTCTCCAGTTTAAGACTGAGCTTTCTAAACAGATAGCTGTCATATCCAAGAGGAAAAAAGGTAGACTGGCAATTATTGTGAATTTCACTAGTTGTTTCAAAAAATGAACTATAATTTATATAATGCCACCAGCTGTCTAACTTTAAAGGACTCCTTACCTTATCTATTAAATGCATGATGGCGCTGAGTTGCTCATCTGTGTTCTCGGTGGCTACTTTCAGGTTGATGTTGTGGAGCACTCTATTAAGTATGTCGCTGTCCAGGGGCTGGTGCAGCTGGTCCTCAAGTCCCCAAACAGCCTGAGAATCTGAGTCAGCGACGACAGTGATGTTGGCAGTCCCGTATATTCGATCAATTCTGGCCCCACCTTTTGGGTTAAAAAGCACAATCTGGAAGCGTTTAGGAAATGGATATAAAGAAGCTGTCTCAGGGGTTAGGATGATATCCACCACCGTGTTTCTCTGGCCAGGTTCAAATAGCAGTATGCCTTCAGTTCTCACAAAATCCTTCCCAGACACAGCTGGAGATATGAGAGTACGGCCGATAGTTTCAGCACTCCTCAACTCCTGGAAATAAAATACCACCAAATAGTTAAAACTATACCATGTCTGATTTCAGTCTAGACAATTTTTTATTATTTCAACAAATGCTTTTTCTCATAAACAACATGATAAGCAAGACCAGCACTACAACTGATACATGGGAGAGAGACAATTGGCTTTTCTAATCTTCTAAAATAAATTGCTGTTGCTGCTGTGTACTATCAAGTCAGAATCAACCTATTGCTGACCCTCCAGCAGGTTTTCAGAGGCAATCAACTGCACAAGAAAAGAGTGCCCATTTTTCTCCTGCAGAGCAGCTGGTGGATTCAAAGTGCTGACCTTTGGGTTGTCAGTGCAGCTTCTTATCACTATGCCACCAGAGCTCCCTTAAAATAAATGACAAAGAAAAAAAAATCCTACAGTAATGAGAGTCAGAAAAAGAGATGTCTCTTAGAGGTGTTAACAAAGAAATAGGAATTCAAGATCAGAGAACAAACCAAGACAGGAAATTAGAAAAGAAATATCAGCGTTTCCATTTATAGAATTTCTCCAAATATGAATACAATAGAAAACATGAGTATGATGCTTTAAATAGCACATACAATCAAAAAAGAATGTTTCTGGAGTATGGGGAAGGGTAAAAAGGCAGTCATGAGAAGACAGAGGGAAAGAATTGGAAAGTGAAAAAACTGATCTCTCATTATTTTCTGTGTTTCATTGACTATGCAAAGGCATTTGACTATGTGGATCATAACAAACTCTGAGAAGAATGGGAATCCCAGAACACTTGATCGTTCTAATGCGAAACCTATACTTGGACCAGGGGCAGTCATCAGAACAGAGCAAGGGAACACTGCATGGTTCAAAATTGGGAGGGGCGTACGCCAGGGATGTGTCCTATCTTCATACCTTTTCAACCTATATGCAGAACAGATTATCCGGGAGGCTGGGCTCTATGAGGAGAAATGTGGGGTCAAGATTGGGGGATGATTTATCAACAGTCTGCGTTACGCAGATGACACAACCCTGCTTGCTGAAACTGAAGAGGACCTGAAGCACCTGCTGCAGAGGATCAAGGACTGCAGACTCCAATATGGATTGAAGCTCAATGTCAAAAAAACAAAGATTCTCACCACTGGACCAATTGGCAGCATCAGGATGGATGGTGAAGAGATTCAGATTGTACACAGCTTTAGTTTGCTTGGCTCCACAGTGAACACTCTTGGCACCAGTAGCCAGGAAATTAAAAGGTGCATTGCCATGGAAAGTCTGCTGTTAGGGACCTCTCCAGAGTACTGAAGAGCAATGGTGTCTTCCTGGAGACTAAGGTGCATTTGATATAGGCCATGATCTTCGCAATCACTTGTTATGCATCAGAGAGTTGGACAATGATCAAGGAGGATAGAAGGAGAATTGATGCCTTTGATCTGTGGTGCTGGAGAAGAGTATTGAGAATACCATGGACTGCTAGGAAAACAAACAGATTTGTCCCGGAAAGGGTTAAACCAGGTGGCTCCTTGGAGGCAAGGATTCTGAGGCTCCATCTAACACACTTATGACGTGTTGTGAGGAGAGATCAGTCCTTGGAGAAGGACATTGTGCTTGGGAGTGAGAAGGGACACCACAGGAGAGGAAGGCCCTCTATGAGGTGGATTGATTCAGTGACTGGGATAATCAGGATGGGAGTGTCAGAGACAGTGCGATTGGCACAGAACAGAGCAGAGTTTAGGGCTGTTGTACATAGGGTCGCTATGAGTCACAAGTGACTCGATGGCACATAACAACAACAACAACATTATTTTCAATCATACATGGAAATATCCTAAGGAGTAAGGTTCTGAACATATGTACCTCTGAGTTATTAAAATTATCCTTTTTAAAAATTTTAGAATTAAACAATGAACAAAAACCCAAGTGGTGGAGGAATCATATTTGTTTATTCAGCCAACAAACAGGGTACATATTAGGGTTACAGCTTGGAATTGCACAATACCTATTTCAGTGGGAGAGAGAGTGTAAAGACTGTGAAAGTAACAATATTAAATGAAGTTTAGACTTGTGAAAATATATAGCTAGGTAAAGAGATTAAGGTGACAGTTGTGTTTGTTGTTGTGTACTGTTGATTAGGAACCAACTCACAGCTAATCCTCCAGTGGATTTTCAGAGCAACAAATCACATGGGAGGAGACTGCCCCTTCCCCTGTGGAACAACTGGTGGATCTGACCTGTGTGTCTCTGGGATTAAAGAGTAGTTTCTTACCACTAGGTCACCAGGGCCTTCTAAGATGACAGCTGTTGTTGTTGTATGCCATCAAATCAGAACTGACCCTCCAGTGGCTTTTCAGAGCAGTATACACCATGGGAGAGACTGCCCATCTTCCTCCTGCAGAGCAGCTGGTAGATTAAAACTGCTGTCCTTTGGTATTGCAGCACAGCTTCTTACCACTAGGTTACCATAGATCCCTATCACTAGGCCACCAGAGCTCCCTACAGTGACAATAGATGTACTATCTTATTTTAGATGAGGCTGGTCATGGAAAATATTGAGGGATTATCTAAACAGAGACCTCAGTGAAGTAAAGGAACAGGCTAGGAAAGAATCTAGGGGATACATTTGAGTGAAGGAATATCAATTGCAATGGTCCTAAAACGGAAAACATTGGAGAAAACCAGAGGGTCATTCTGACGGGCAGAATATAAAGAATGCTAGCACCTGGAGCTAGAGCAATAGAAAGGGGGTATATCAAGGAGATCATTATTTTAACTATGGCAAGACAAGACGACAATATTTCAGCAGGAAGATGATATACTTGGTTTTATATTTTCTTGAATGTTCTGACTATTGTTTATTAGAGTATAGCAAGGCATGATCATAGAAGAAATGAAATGATAGGGGGTTTCTGTATTTCTGTGAACAAGAGGTAACGTTAGCTTGAAACAATGGATGAGAGAAGAGTGGGAAGCCTCCATGTTCTGAATATATTTTGAATACAACATCAGCAGGACTTTCTGATCAATTTGATGCTAGCTGTGGAGAAAAATATATTAAGGTTAACTCCAAGCAATTTTTCTGAGGTATCAGCCTGGGTAAAGTCTGTTCAGACTTATTTCTTATACAGGAAAAAAAGTATGAGATACCTTTTAAATATTCAAGCTGTCAATTGGTTGGAATAAAATATATGAGTATGGACCAGGAAAATACATAAGACTAAGAACAGATGTAGATTATGCCCCCTAAGCAAGGATTCTTGCTGGACTCTAACGTTTACTGGCCTGGCAGAGCCAGCTAAGGTAACAGTAAGGAGTTACATAGAAAACATAAAAGTCACATGGAAAATAGGAAAAGCAGGAAGTATGGTGTTCTAGATGCCTAGAGAAATTTCATACAATTCAATATGGAGAAAGAAATTAATTGAGTCAAAAGCTGGAGATCAATCAAGAGGGGTTTTCAAACACATTTTCAGTATGATGTTGTTGCTGCTGAGTACTGTCGAGTCAGAACTGGACCCATAGCTGACTTTCTAGTGCATTTTCAGAGGCAGTTTAATCACATAAGAGGAGATTGTCTATCTTTCTACTGTGAAGTTGTTGTTGTTGTTGTTAAGTGCCATTGAATAGCAGGCAACTCAATAGCTAGCCTATGAAGGAGAGTCCTCGACGCTTGGGTGCCTTTCATCCTCTCTCCAGGTTCATAGGGTTTCTGGAGGCAAGCTATTACAGAAGTGGATGCCACTCCTCCTTCCAAACTGTGAAGTAGCTGGAAATTTAAAGCTTTGAGATTGAAGTGCAGCTTCTTACCACCAGGCTACCAGTTCTCCCTTTTCAGTATAATGCTGTTG